GTGGAAACCTTTCCGGAGTGGTTCATCACGACTACACATGCGTACGGGTGTTTAAGTTGCTTGTGGCTCTGTCGATGTGCTACTATCAAGTACCATGTCAACGTTCGATTGTCCTTTTTGACCAAAATATTTTAATGAAAAACCAATAAAATAACACACAAAACACATCCATTGTCTAAGATAAACGTAGGAATCTATTATTCGTTTTGTGAGACTGCAATCATTATATGTGGCTGCAGTTTGGAGCGATACATGACAGATCACTAATAACTCATTTTAATCTATTGTTTTCCAAGCAACTACTTTTCTATATGGTCAAGTGATCTGTCATTTTTTATAAAAAAAAATACGAATATTATATATAAATATATATATTTGAGTTTAAAAAAAATAAATTGGATATCGTGCGTGTTAGTCTTTATTATCAACAGTGAATGATATCCGAACGATCTATATGCGATTGTCTGCCAGTTATTTCTCTATTTTTATAAAAATTTTCACAACTATTTTTATATGAATTTTTTTGTTTGTTCGTACAAAGTGTCTGCATCGCATTATCTGTCAGCTGTTTTACCTGGTAAACAATGCGAAACTTGGACCAAGTAAGGTTTCGGATCGGAGCCATTAAAGAAATCAACGAGTTATAAAAATACTTAATAACATGGCACGTATATTCAAACGCTATACCTTTTGTGGCAACGTGTGAAGTATTTCCGGAATTTTACAAGACTAGCGTCAATCAATTTCTTCTAAGAAAGCGTCAACGGAAATATGTTCAAAATTTAAAAAATATCACGACTTTGGTTAGGGATTTTGATAGACAATAAATTACGGCCAAGTAATGTCCATAGATGAAACATGTTTTTCGGTTGCATTTTTGATGAAGTTCCGTGCTTAAACAACAGTGGCAGATTGAGATTGTGTCAAAAATGGGAATTAGTTGTTATATTTTTATTCTGTTTTTGATGGGAATAACGACTGAATGCCTGCAAGTCATAACTCAAATAATAGACTATATCTGGATAGTTCCGTGAGTGAAATATGCCATCAAGTAATTTACAAGCGTCATTTTGTAGGTCACAGGACGAGGTCGATCATATTCTTTGTTATAAACGAAGTGGAAAATCCCGATTTTTATAACATTGGTTATGTCAAGTAACAAAATAAATTAGTAATTACTAGGAGTTCTCTCACAAATCTGTAAGAAGGTATTTTCCGACAACACACTTCTTGGAATGCTTCATTTATTCGTGGTTTCGACAAATAAAAATAAGATGTTTGCAATTAATTTTAAGTTGCCGTTTGGTCGAATCGGCGACTCAAGTTTGCAAGCATACGAAATGGGATTTTCAATTAATTGCGGAATCAAAAAAAGATACCGCTGACCTTATGTGATAAAAGACCATTCATTCTTCGTCCCCTTCTAACAAAAAATAATTGACGGCGGTATATGTCAGGTCGAGTTATAACGAAAAGCTTTTTAGTTCGCTTCCCGTCGACTTTGAATATTTTGCGTAAGTTCTTATGTAAGGCCGATATAGCTTTAAAATACATTTACATATTTTTGTGTTTTTAATACGCTCGTTTTTAAAGTAAAAAAATCCAAACGTAACCTAACTGAAAATACACCACAAACATTTATATCGGTTTTCTCGATAAAATGTCGGTTTGCTGACAATGCTACGAATTAAAATATGAACGGTGTGACAAAGCAGAATATTCTCATCCAAAATCAAATCCTAGATCCTTTTGAACTCAAAAGAATATCAATATCATTTGGCGCAGAAGTTCAATACACAATATTCACAGAAAATACGTAATCAATCACAATTTTATCGTGAACAAATAAGGTAGCAAAAATAACTACTTCATTTGTAATGTATAAAGCTGAGATTTGATTACAAATGTAACATGCAATGGCGATCATTAAATATCTCAATATAGATCTCACTTGCCAATTATCACATATCTGATTCTTTGATTCAAATTCATCGTGTGCCAAGACAATCACGAACAATTCACGACAGATAATAATAAAACAGATAATATTCTCTATGCATTATAGCATAATATCAATTCTTTCCGTTGCTTTGATGAGTTAGTTATGAGCCAACAAAAGACAGGCAATTTACAAACCAAATTAAACAGTTTCTTAGTAGACTTCCGACGATTCAAACAAAGTTAAATCTGCATTTCTATAATGACTGGAGAATACTTGAGACCTGAGTTTTTGTTCCGTGAATACAATTATAACAAAGAATGCGACAATAAAGAAATACAGTTAGAATAAGCCGTCTCTACAATATAGGTATGAAATGCATGATCGGGACTATGAAAGAGAATTAAAATTAATTTGTTTTCGTCGTCGGATTTCTAAGCAATATTTTTTGTGTCTTTATATTCTTTTGCAAGAAAGTATGAGTCTGTATAGAATATGGTTCCCCAAACTGGGATACATCTTCCCCTATAAGGGAATAATTCGACGTTTTTAGGGGTACATAGGATTAAGTATAGGAATTGATTTTTCCATAACTTCTGGTCTGCCTTAAATTATTCCATCATCTGAAGTTAACAACTTGATAACCTGAGTTTAGCAACTCTTTAGAAAGTCGCAGACTTTTATCCCAGTATGAGGCTTTAGCTATACCGAGTACACATTCGTAGTTCAGTTGACTTATTTTGTACAATCACAACATACAAGGCAATTTTTGGGGTACGTGAGCAATCTCTGAATTGTATAAAAGGTACCTAATAATATTGAGTTTGGGGAACCTTGATATAGAATATTTGATTTGTTATCCGTGCACACTATCTATGATATTTTAAATAGGAAAGCCTATTGACTCGAGATTCAATGATGTCGTCGCTTTAATACGCTTTGTTTAGAGAATTACATTCGTGACATGTTTTTTTGTTATCAAAATATTTCTATCATTTTCTAGTATATGTGTGCTTTACCAGATAGTAGACAGTTTTTCATGAGTACGTCGAAACTGGTTTGGACCTGCTTTATGTACAGGCGTTTCACAACTAGCGCATGTTATACTTCTTAACGCTACTTTACAATAGTAGAATGCAGACAGTCGGCCTGAAATAATGGATTACGAGGTAAAAAGGTTGCGAATAACCACATTCGTTGTAACATTATCAGATTATCGAATCAAAATGTTTCAATTTGGACGTTTAAGTGTGGATCACAAATCGAAATTCAAATGAGCGAAGAAATCATTTATCATTCCGTCTTACGCACATGTCACTTTTCGCTGCAATGTTTACTCGAATTCTACGATTTAATTTGCATGGAACTACGGCGACCACGGCAATCTGCTGCTGTTTACCTAGTTAATGCACCTTGTGTTGTCGAATTTGGCTCCGCGTGTTTTTTCCTCTTAGTAATAAAAAATTCTTGAGCCTATAGCATTTGCTTTACTAATAAGACCCTAACCCGAGATTTTTTCTAAGCTTCCGGATTTGTCATCAACCTCTTTCCGGTGGTCCAATTACATCTAATTATAACGAGTAATTAAATCAATGGAAGGTTTTGTCGAGATAAATAATCTCTGGAATAATTCTTATTCCATACCTCAAATAATTATCTGGAAAAATTAAGACAACTACCGCAGACTAGAATGCTGTAAATCATTATTCCAAATTTGCATGTTTGTTGTGACGTCTACTTTCGAATGTCTCAAATGATCGATGCAGAAATAACACTTTTCCATTGTCTTGTGGAATATGATAGATTGAAGACATGGAGAAAACACAAATAGAGAATTAACTTAATGTGTTTGTTTCGCCGATGAAAATTAGCCTTTATTGAACGATGTAATTAGGAATGGGCATTAGAACATGTATCATCAACATGGCATCAGATCCATCCGGTAAGTAAGATTTGCGTATTAAGCCAATTTTTTTTAACCCCAATCAATTTGTATACGAATATACTTATACTTTGGAAAGCTGTTATCTATTCTGAATGTGATATATCTAAGAATGAGAAGATTTTTTTCATGTATTTCATGGGGCTTTTAAAGGAAACGTATCACACAAGTTGTTTAGGTAAATTGAAAAATGTCTTATCATTCGATCAATATATATTGTTTTTGTACCAAATACGCTTATACCAAATCGTTATGGTAAGTTACGCATATTTTGGTTGGGACAACGCTTTATGTAATCCATGGCTATCATAGATCATATGGAATTTAAGATTACTTGATGTAAAAAAAAAATAAACAACAATATATTTTGTCGCGAGGTCTTTTATAAAGCACTCTTATGTTTAATATTTTTAGTTTTTTATTTGAACTAACCATATTCGGCATTTTACATATACATAAGGCAATACGTTTGAAATCCAAATTAAAGCATCTAAATTCATTTCTTCGACACATTTTTTGGTTCTATATTTATTTTGTGCGTAATCATACTTTGTTGGTTTAATTTTTATTTTTTCTCTCGTATTCCATGGAAAATCTCTCGTTTTAAAGACAACGTAAATCGGTTCACATAAAATGGCCGACACTTACCTACGCAACTTAATTGGCGCACGACTTTAGCGCGATAGTTAGTCTGAAGAGGAGGTACAATGGCGCAGAATATAGCAAGAAATGCGCAAGTTTGGAACAAAAGTGAAATAGAAATAGGTAGTAATTAGTTAATAAAGACGGACAATGTGAAAAGTACAAAAAAATAATAGAAAAACCAATTTGTTTTGGTATATAAATGCATATATATATATACAAGCATTTGTAGCAGATGCACAAGTACGTGCTAAGAATTCTGAATTTTCTGGCAGTTTTAGTATCCAGGTTAATAATGAAGATCATTGACAGGCGGTTCGATATACAAAGGGTTCTCATTTTTACTATTCGCTTTATCATACCGTTTTCAAAACACAAAATAATATTGTGAATACGTTTTATTATTACACTAAACTCTTTTGTTATTAAAGGTTGATAATTTTATGTGGTATAAGTATATGTTATCAAATTGCAATGCAGACAGCACGTGTTTCTTCAAATTACGCACCAATTGTAATAAACCCTATGGATCGCAGGAGTTATCCTTCTGAATCGGAAACTTCACCGAGTCCAACCTCAAGTAACGATTATTGTTTTGAACCTGAGATTGAAAACAATCTAGTTAATCGCGAAGCTTCTTCCTCAGCAGCTCCACGTGAAAATATATCAGTTATCAAGAAAAATGAAAGTCGCCGCGGCCTTGTGCATGCTGGGAATATGGGTACAAATTCAGCGCCGTCTTCCCCACTCGAGAGAGAAATGGGCGTTTCACCAAGAGAAAATAGAGGTATGTTTAACCATATGTTTTAATACACCCAGTCACAAGCCCTACGATATCGCATGTGACTCTTCAATACCAAATATCGGGATATTTTAAATTCTTAATACTAAAACTACAGTTACAACAAAAAATACAGCGACAATATAATAATTTTACACATCATTAAAATATGTGTTGACGATCATAATTTAAACAAATGAAATTCGGAGATCGACACATGTGTTTTGAATGAGAAGTTATTATGATGTCTAGCTAATAGAATGTTTTAACTATAGATTTCAGATCTGTTGAGAGAAAAAGGCGATATTCAGATATCGCTTCAACTTTAAATGATCCCAACCAACTACGCAACCAAAATATCAGTTTGAAAAATGGTAAGACCACAATCAATAAAGTAACCATACAATCATCTTTTTCAAACAACTTCACTCCAAACCTTATTCTAATCTATTCAAGAGCCCGAATTGATATTGTAACTTTTGATCATGGATACGTAAATTGATTCAGATACCTCAACTTCTGGAAAACTTCTGAATGAAGCTTTCAGTTTTATCGCAAACAACTTCAGTAATCAGCAGCGCGATACTTTGATAAACAAACGCAGAAGAAGCGATCGTATTAACAGTGATGGTTCGACAACAACGGACACTGACTCAATTCTGGATGAAACTGAATTCGTAGTTGCTCTAAAACAGGAATTGGCTGCTGCTATCAAAAATGCGGTGGAAACATCGGCACTACGTGTCCTGGAAAAATTTGAAGTAGAAAAGGGATTTTTATCGAGTCAGTATACCGACCGACAGTCGCCAACAAATGATTCAGACCAGGATATCGTCAGTGCGGAAGCTGACAATAAACAACAGAATATGGATTATGAACAACATTTACGGTAAGCCATTTTGAGCTTTGACTTTCGAACAGAATGGTATTCATTACATCCACGTAATTCATGTATATTTAATTTTGTTTATAGAGACGAGTTCATAGATGTAACTGACAACTCTTCGCAATCACAAAGCGATGTAAAACATGAACAACCTATGTACTTTTCCAGCAACTTTGATAAGCAAGATAATAATGTGGATGAAAAACGAACTAGAATGTCGGGTGAATATTTGAGGTAATAGTCGGAACGATGACTTTAGTTAAAAATGTAAAGCGAAAGCGAACGCCACTAATAACATAACTTAAATCATATCTTTTCAGATATCAAGCATCGGATGATTCAGACGTGTTTGAAGATAGTGGCAGGTCTAGTTTTGTGAAGAAAAGCAAACCAATACTTCTACCGACCGACAATCATTTTCACAGAAGTCCGAAAATTGAAACCTCAGGATACAATCCATTGCAGACAAACACTATTTTAGATCAAGCAATATTAGAAACAAAACATAGAAATTTTTCGTATCCGCCGCTGCCAATTCCGATTTCGCTTTCACAAGCATTCGGCTTTTCAAAAGTACCGCCATTACCTTACGCAACAGGTATTCCCAAATTTGGAAACGTTGCCAACCTGACTTCTGTAGGTCAGTTATCACCTACAATTGGAACTATCCCAACTAACGAGGCATTTGCACCGACTGAAATAAATAGACAAGCTTCGACACAAATGACAAATTATCGTACGTATATGCACGCAAATAAGCTTCCAAAACCGTCTCCCTTCGGGACATATTCGTTTCCAAATTTGGCTTTTGTACCAGAATTCCACCAGAGAGCTCAGTTTGCAGCCATGTTTGCTACAATGAATCAGAGAATACGAAACAAAATACATCGGAATACAAATCACTCAGCATATATGCATCACATGTACATGGCAGAGCAGCAACGATCTCATTCAGGAGTCGAGAGCCAATACGGTAGTTTACTTGATATTTTTACTACCTAATTGTTTAATCAAGATAGTTCTGTTTATTATAATTATGAAGTGCATGTGCATAAATTGTCTTTAAATGATAGAATGGACAAATAAAACTAGCAGGGTAAAATATGGCAAAGTTTTTGGAAGAATAATATTAATCATTGTTACGTTCTCTGATGATACAACTTTTATCTTCTTTGCTGCAAATTCTTACATAGTTTGGTAATACAGCATTGTATTATGGATATATTCATTTTGCAGGCCCAGTGTCAACTCGCCCTTCACTCATGACCCGAACAATCAGCCGGGAAAACTGCTTTCGTCGATCATTTTCTGGAATGATATCCTTTTCATAACTTGCTTAATTGAAATTAGCGATAGAAAACATGTCTAGAATGAAGTCTAGACAACTTGGACTTCTTGACAACTTACATTTTCACGTTATGACCATGTCATAACAGAGGCATGGTTTGCCTGGACCACGCAAGAATAGTTTCGTTTTAATTGACAAAATTTTGTCCGCAAATTTTGATAAATAAACAAAATAACATCACAGATTACGAATACATGACAATGCTGATAGACACCCTACCGACTTTCCGTGATTAAAAATAAGACCTGGAACGTGTTGCCAGTATCGATTCAAGAATAGCCAAAACTTTCCAAACTCATTAATATCTCGTTTTGCGTCGACTTCATTTTTATTATAAAAAAACGTGCGTGAAAAATGATCACGTCGGCCGTTTATTACTTTTTACGTAATTATAGTTGATGTCATAATTATAATCACAATGCCTCTGTCCTCGATAAGTAGCTGAATAGTGTATACACTGGGCGAACCTATAGCTCTCAATTATTATTATAAAATGAGTTTTTAATGTGTTTAATTAATCCGTGACTGTTAATATAATGAGTTTTGTTATGTGAGTGCTACAGATATATATTTTTGATTTGTGTCTAGGCAGAGACATGAGTATATATCGACCCTAATTTAGCTTGCTTTGCTATATATAAACATAGTTGACTTTATTTAATTGTTTCCAAAAAATTATTGGTTTTATGTATATATATATATTCGGTATTCAAGTCAATTTATAGATTTTTCTTAATTGATTAACACATGCAAGACGGTCTTACTCCTCAACATTTGAAGAAAGCAAAACTGATGTTTTTTTACACGAGATATCCGAACGCAAATACATTGAAGACTTATTTCCCAGATGTGAAGGTGAGCGAGCGCGAGATATTTTCTTATTATTAACATGATCTCTGAAGATCACACAACTTGGCACGATAGCTTCAAGCAAATTATTAATACTAGACGTTATGATTTTACATTTAAATGAATTCTTTTTACAGTTCACGCGAGCTATCACATCTCAGCTAATCAAATGGTTCAGCAACTTCCGTGAATTCTTTTACATACAAATGGAGAAATTCGCAAGACAGGCAGTGACTGAAGGAGTTGTAGACGCCTCTGCTTTATTTGTGTCACGCGATAGTGAAATATTCAGAGTGCTGAATATTCATTACAATAAATGCAGCGAATTCAACGTAAGATGATTTAAATATTTTTTAGAGATATAGTTTTATATTGTTTTTTTTCCTACAAATGTACTTCTAAACAGTTTTGATACCGCGATTCTTAGTTGATATAATATATAAAGTATATATTAAGTCTCACAAACTATTCTGTATCAATGTTGGACAAATTGTGATTTGAACTCAAACATAAGCAATTTAAGTAAGAAAAGTTTCGAAATAAGCAGTGATTTCATAGAATAAATTCAATTCATCATACCTCATTTGTGGCCTAGAATAAACCCACGAAAAAATATACGTATTAAATTACAACTGCTGTAAAACTGTATCTCCAAATAAGGTTCAGCTTAAGCCTTATCTGACTTACCTTTGATGTTTGTTAAACAATAGTCGAAAATGATGTTATGGTGGAAGGTTTTGCTCCGGTTAAATACTTTCCATCTGTCTCGCCATATTTCCAATAAAATTATACATACTGAAACCTATCGTTTCATTCGGCAGGCACATTCGCTGCCACGACCCAGTCAAGTACGGACTTTCGATGAGTATACTAAATAACACGCTTTGTGTCTGGTCCCTGCATAATCATTCATGTGTCGAAACTTCGTGAAAATTTTGAGTTAAAAATAAATCGGCTATTGTCTCTTCTTGTCATCTAATTCCTAGTATGTATTTAATGTTTACTATTTTTAGTTACACAAATGTAATCAAATGGTGCGATGATTATTGAAATAGACATTATTAAGTCCTTACTTGATTGCTCAGGCCATTGGTCGTTAATCACCAATATTCTGATTAAATTATAAATATTCGTGTACGATCAATATAACAAGACTTAGATTATAGATTAGATTATCAGCAAACAAAAAAACGTTCTAGGTGTAAAAATCCTTGCTTCAGTCAAATTACATTGCCACACATTTGGTTTAATTTGTTTGTCAAACATAAATTGACAAAAATGATGTAATGAAATTCAATACTTCAATTTAGGTCCCAGAACAATTTCTACAGGCAACAGAAGCGAGCCTAAGAGAGTTTTTCAAAGCAGTTCGAGCTGGAAAGGATAGTGATCCCGCTTGGAAGAAAGTTATATACAAAATAATTTGCAAACTTGACATGGAAGTCCCGGATCTCTTCAAGTCATCAAATGTTCTTGATAGACTGCATGAACTTTAATATCAGGCAACACGACGAGCTAAACTTCTACTGTTTAAGGCTAGATAAATATTGCAATATAATATCAAAAGGTGTACGAAGTCTGAAAAAGCGAGCAATGCTCGAATATATGGACACGAAGAAATTTACTGTATCTAGTGTACAGTGCATTATCGGTATCTAAAAACTTCCGACTTTCGCGTAGAACGAGTTCGCAAAATCAAAATGGCAGACAGCCGCCACGCTTGGTGGAATACAACAGTGTCCCAATGAATTTTGGGTAAGGTATCGAATCTCATAAGATTAATAGAAACATATAGTTCATAGTTAATAGGAACATATAGGACATACGTATAGAGGCAACAGTAATCCTAAACCACTGAAAGCTTCAAAGCACTTGGTTCCGAAGGTAAAGTGAAAAGCGAAGAAAAACACTAACAGGGAAATTAAAATGGAAAAGAATAAAACCAACAACATAATAACAAAACTATCCATAAGCCCATTTGGTGTCCAATAAAAGTGTTCAACTAGAATTTAATATGTCGTTATATTCTGCTAAAAACGTAGATTTTTTCTTTCGAGAAAGAAAACATGTTTTTTTTTTAAAATAATATATTTTCACTGCTAACTTTTTTTATATTTTTGGCTTGAAACATCGTAAGGTGTTCTTTATATTGTTGTAAATTATTTGAACAAACATCTTTTGACTTTAAATTTTTATACATATACATTTTCTATATTTATATTGATTTTAATTAAATTATTGTACAAATTGTTCCTCAATTTTTAATTCAATTTTTGCATTTTAAAACTAATGCTAAACATGACATAACCAATATGTTACATTTGAGTTTCATCTTTAAATGCACTATCACTACACTCTTTTTCGGCACCATTTTCGTCTATTAGGCCGATTTTCAAGACCTATTTTTCAACCTGATTTACTGGGTTCGGAACTTTAAATATTGATTAAAAATACTTATAGTAATTTTCAGTACAATCATAATTTTTGTAGTCTTTCAATTTGATTGCCAATAAACTTGCGATGCCGTACAGATAATGTAGCAAAACTCCTCAGATTAGAATCGAACTTTCAAAACTATAAGTGCATGGAGGAGGGGAGGTTTCTGACCTTGTCGATTAATATCAGAGGTGGAATTGAAAATTTGAAGAACAGGTTCTCTTTTGTATCTTCTCACTAACAACGGGTTCTATTATTTCAGTAATCCTTGTCGAACGTATATAGATAGCTGTTGCATACGCGTCTGGCCATTGTTTACGTGTGACGAGCACTATACGGGAGACCGTCGCTATACTTTGGCAAGCTGTATTTCGTTATGGTGACGTCGCAGTGACGTGATTTTTTGATGACGTAATCAGGTGGGGGGGAACAATATATCCAAAAATTGTTACGCTACGTCCACTAGAAGTTATTCAGGTAAGAAACTACACGAGACCCCAATCTGGTTTATTAGGATGCAGAATATGAGAATTTGGCAAGTAGGGAAAAATTTGGCTTCCGATAATTTTATTGTAAACAGAAGATTAGGAGACGTGAAATAAAGTATGCACAAGTGATATGATTCAAGTTTATAACCAGATGAAATCGAGGTATATTAGCCACCATAAATACGTGGTCAGAATGATAGAGAAGTGTCCCAGATTTTCTATTTGTATTCTCAGCGATCTAGCAGAACAATTGCAAACATGCCGAAAGGTAGAATTTTTTCAGAAATTGCTTTAGATTAGCGCTTATTTCTAATACCACACTTTCAGATAAAGAGGCAATTGAGACTTGCAATTATGAATATGCTGATGCTGATCTTGATAAAACACATAATTTCCAGAACGATAATCATGCAGCTAAGATTTTTAGCTTAAAAAATCAGATCATTTCAGCATTTTGACTGTTGGAATTTATATGGACAGACAATAGCTATCTAAAAATGAATCTAGAGTTAAAACTTAGTCGTGTTTCGAAAGTCCGAATGCGGCGCCGTTCACCCAGATAAACAGAAAAGCCAATTCAACGTTTGGGGGAGCACAGTTTTTCTCTGCTCCGAACTTTTGACAACACCATAAAGGTATTGCAATCCACTCATAAACCCCTATCTATACTAATTAGCAAAATATGTGAAAGATTGCTCAGCTACGTTATTCATTTAAAATTCACCTGACTTGAAAGCTGCTCCTTTGTTCATATTAACTGCATGGGTTGGCCTTTTTACACAGTATCTGCATTCTGCTGATCTGAACTTTTTTTAATTTTGAAATTAAATTGTTTTAAACTTTCCCCAATTATTTCATATCTGCTAAATTATCAAAAAAATCAAAATATGTAAAAGCTTGCTCAGCTTATTTATTTAAAATTCACCTGACTTTAAAGCTGCTTCAGCACAAATTCTCTCTTCAATATCAGATTAGTGCTATATTATGGCCTAACTGAAATCCCTAATTTAATGAATATTTATCTAATAGTAGCTTCTGTTGCGCTCCAGCAGTTCCCGATGTCAACATTAACAGCTTGTTTACATCCCAGACATCCAGTCAGTTCGCATATCACGATCTGAAATATATTATTTAGCTAAGATGCAATATATAGACTGAAAAAAAAAATACACATGAGATAAAAGCAAAGATAGGGTAGGAATCTAACCAAAACGTAAACAAAGTTTCTTACTTATTCTAAATTGAATGTTTTCTTGTCGATCGCCTCCATTTGTTTACGCCGTCGTCTTTAATTCAATAATTACATACCAGAATCATTTAGTATTAAGCTATGGCCTAAATGAAGAATAAAGTTTATCTTTAATAGCATGGCATCTTCCGATTAGGATTCATCTTACCAATTTCATGGCATCTTCCGATTAGGATTCATCTTACCAATTTCATAACTTGTAATCAAAATTCCACTTTGTAGACATTTAAATAAATAGTATAGGCCTAAGTTTGGTCTAATTGTATAGCTATAACAATCTTAAAAAGGTCTATAAGGTAATACAAGCGTTGGGCTAGCGACACAATGATGCACATCAACCATTAAACGTCAAAAATCTGGAAAGTAAATTCAGCGCTTACCCGACGGCGTCAAATTTGAAAATACCGCCTCGGCGCAGACAAATATTGACGTGGCAAGAAAAAAAAATGTGACTATAATAAAGAAACAAAGAGCGGAGGAGATCGCGAACTGAAGATACCTTTTCATTTGTTATTAGGAATCACATGACTACTTGACGTAAGAAAAAGGCAAAACAACAAATATAAGGTGATAAGAAAAACAATGCGAGGTGCGAGAGGAAACGACGCTTTAGGGTGAGATTATTCTGACAAGCCGTGTCTGAACGCCTTCATATGGTGACAATTGCACACTGTGATATCGGTAACACAAACATCGAATTCTGATTATGCCCGTTAAATATTATTTGAAAAAAAAATGAATTTCGAAGTTTCTGTTTTAAAAATAAATCATGATTTGAAACGCAAAAGAATATAATTACTTACTTACATACTTTCTTATATTCGAGACGCATCGGAAAGTCACTCCTCTTGCTTCCCGAATGAAAACGTTTCCTTTTGCACTCAAAGAAATTCAATCACAGATTTCAAGTTTCTGAAATATAAACAAAAAGCTCGTTATTATATCATGATGAAAAACGGCAAACATAGTTTTATGGGGGAGACAGCAGTATGAACCAACAAGTAACAGTGCAGCAAATTACTTATGAGAGAGCGATGCTTTATATATATATATATATATATAGCGACACGATGGCCAAAACGTCATGTCACAGCAGACTACCGCCACAAGGTTTGTAATTTTTATCGTTGATGACGTCATCGCAAAAAATACGAATCCGTTAGCATTACTGAAAAAGAACAGAACCGGCTGAAAAATATGACATTTGTGTGATGGAACCGGCTGACAAAAAATTTGAATCTCACCACCGGTTAAATCCCTTCTTCCTAAATATTATGCGTTTAGGTAGTAAATAAGATTAAATCAAGATTCTGTGGTTCAATTGTAACAAGTCTTTTTCGTTTTTAGCGTTTTATTTTTGTCAGCGCATAAAATTAATATTTGCAAAATCATGAAAATGCAAATAAAAAAAATATTTTGTTGTACTATATATATTGCAAGGGTGGCCGACACTCTGATCGCAATCGACCTGTCGATCGCCACGTCTCGAGTAGTCGATCGCGTATGATGTTGAGTAACTTTGCCAAAATTCTAAGCGAGCAAAGAATCGGACTTGAAAAAAATTGTAGAATTTAAATTAGAGTCACGTAACATTTATGGTTTAGGATTATTCATTATTCGCTGCTTAGATAATACATGGATACTTTTCAAGGTTTCTGGAAGAATTGAAAACACGACTAAAAATTAGACAGGCCCTAAATCTGTATATATTGTATGATTTGAATGAATCTAGAAGTAAATGTTAAAAAATTTACTCGGGGTACAATTACATAATCAAATTAACAAATTGAATGGAATATAAAAAATGCAATTTTTGTGGCAATTTCATTGAGCCGAACTTATTGGCAGTGGTGGAATTTTTGTATGCTTGTGTGCGGTTATCTGCGTATTCAGTAGTCATTCATTTTTGTTTATGGCCTTATAACCGATCAGTCGATCGCGAGCTATTTTGAAGATTTTAGTCAATCGCGATCGAAAGCAGGTTGGCCACCCCTGATACCTATATTGTATTGCATATGTTTTACTGATAAAAATTTGTGGAAAATTTAAGAACTGGAAATATTTCATGTGAAAACAGTAAATGTGAAAGTTATGAAAGTAATATCACTTCAAAAGTCTCTTGAATTTCTTAACTACTGAAAGTTTGAAGAAAATTGTCTAGTTCAGGGGTGGGCAACCTTTTTCGGCTCGCGTGCCAAAATCGACTAAATTTAAGGACAAAATTCTTCCGCGTGCCGACCAAAATGAAAAACAATGCTTTGCTGCTTTCAAAGCAAAAATACACGAGAAAAAATATTTTGAACGTGTACAGACAGATTAACCATTCAGGAAAATATCAGTCCGACAAATAGATTTTATTACTTGTCTTATTCTATATATATATACGTGAGTCTTCTGCATTACAGTCGATAGAGATTTTACGCTGGGTTTATATTTTGTAACTTCAAAAAAATACACGAACTACTGGCTCCATCTTTTGGGCTACCCCTTTACAAGACTTAATAAAGTTCACAACTGAGAACATAGATTCACAAGCATATGTAGATGAAAACATGGAGAGTAATGCAGTCGCAAAGTGTTTAAGAATTGGCATCCCAATCACGCAATAGTTCGTTTTCTGCACTTGCACTGCACTCTATTGTATTCCCTTCCTTAATCGCTTATATTTTTTTTCAAAATCAATTTATAATTGTACATTAGCAAGTAACTCTATCCAACATGAGCTGTACAACTTCATAAATCAAACAGAAATGAAGAAAAAGGGTGGCCCAGACAAACTATATACGTAATAATATACCCAAATGAATGCTGCGCCCTTCTCGACAAAATTTTTTGAGAGCTCACCCATTTGTTACTTGATTATATATTTGTTTGTAGCCATATGTCATGAAAGAACAAAAATAGTTTAAAAAAATAACGGACTATTATCAAACGATTATGAAGAAATGAGCACCTAGTTTCATCAGATACGGTAATTAAATGTCTTGAAGTTTCCTATCTGAAGGAGAATGATCTCGTTTCTGAAGCCTCGCTGGCGTGCCGAATAAATGACTTGGCACGCGTGCCAGGGGTTGCCCACCCCTGGTCTAGTTAAAGTCAAGTGACTTTGCTTTGGGCGCATTGTTTGGTTGGGGTAGAAAACGTATAACGCCTTATATATTATAGAATTCTTGCATATTCTATATTCGGGTTGCTATAAGATTACGACGGTATTCAGTCACGCTCAAACAGTGGTGCTGTGCGTCGGATGCTCAACTGTTTTATGCCAACCAACTGGTGGAAGGGCGAGGCTTACAGAAGGTTGCTCCTTTCGAAGGAAACAACACTAGAAGTTTTCAAATGTTATAGAATTCTTGCATATTACATCACCTGTCGGTGGACAGAATAATAAATCTTTATACAGGGTGATATAAAACAAGAGAGCTACGCACAAATATATGGACACGTTAAACCAGAGCGAATCAGTCTTTACCGGTACCTTTGACGCTACCGGTACCCTCAAAAAAGTTCTGAATTTCCAGTAGCAAGAATTTTGCAGAATCAAAACGTACAGCCAGTCATGACACTGACTAAAATCCGTGTTCCCATGGATAAAAAATAATACAGCAAAATTTTAGACGAAATATCAAATTTCATAGAATTCACGCAAAATTTTGAAATAAATAAAAGTAATAGCCTTCTAGCGAATAAATTAATCTTTAACCATTGAGCAAATTTGATTTCAAAGCAATTGGTCCAGTATTCGAAGAGAAAAGCGATTTTTTAAAAACGTGTCAAAGAACAAGAACAACAACAACATAATATTGAAACGATCGTTATGGCCACTAAACGTGTCCAAAAACGGAATCCATACAATATTTATGTTCCAACTGGACTGGAATTCGCTTTTGGGTCACCCTATATATGTGTGCTACCGGACTACATCCGTTGCTGATTGCAATGTAATAAAGTTCATGTTGCAGTGTTGATTATTGTGAAAAAATCTCAGGAATTTTGTGAAAATTCGCGGCACACTTTCAGGACCTTAGCGGCACACAGTTTGGGAAACCCTGTTCTAGCATAGGTACATCTGCCCAAGTTAAAGAATATTGTTCGTATGTTAGATGAACTAATGTTTACCAATGACTCAATGAGCATATGCTCATTGTATTTACTGACCATGTCTATTCATTTTCAGTCCCAATAGAGCTTCAATATACAGTACCCGTATATATGTTTCCATTTAAAAATTGCTATAATTCCACAATTGGCTTTTTCCACACTGAGAAATTCTCTGGTCGGGAACGTGATGGATCTTACCCCGACCTCGGAAAAATTTTGCCTGTACTTTACTTTTTGATGCTTTATTTCGAGGTTGTTTTGGATAGTTGGCGCATGCTAACTGGTTTACATATTCAAACCAATTATTTGTATTTGAAATATTTAACCAAGCGCCGCTTACAGGTTCTGATAATTTTAGCCTAGTATACGGCAGTTTTTTACCGATTAATTTTTTATTATTGCGAATACCTGAAGCTATTTTAGTTTAGTATACGACAGCTTTTTACTGACTAATTTTTTATTATTGCAACTAAACTGAAGCTACTCGGAAGGATACATAGGTCCACGGATAGTTGTCACTGAGAACTAAGTTATATGATTTACAACCAATCTCGAAAACGACTGAAAACTGACAAATATCACTCAAAAATACAGATCACGAAATTGCCACAATTTATTCAATTAAGACTACAATCCTACACAGTAAAAAAGATTCTGCATAACCAAAATCGCACTTCTTAAATAACCATTGGTTTTATGAGTACGCTCTACAAAAGCTTTTGATACTAATGAAATGCATGTGGAACATATGGGGCAGTGCTGCTTTGTTTAAGAAGCGCAATTTTTCCAAGTAACAAGAACCTGGAGACATTCAGAATCCAAGTATACAAAAGTTGTTCATTATGATACAATCAACTGCTAAAATCAAAATTGGTTACATTAATACAGCATTTGTAAAAGTTGGCTTTGAATATCAACGTTTTTGTCCCATATCTTACATGTCTTGGCAACCATTGCTCGCAATGCCTTTCTCGTTGTTTGCGGATAATAAGGCTGTGCGAGGGCATGCTTCAAAACTTGAAGAAAGGGTCTTACATTCGGAAGGGCTTTAATAGATTTATCTTCTGATTTTATGAGTCCTGCTCTGATTAAGATTCTATCTACCGCTCTCATAGGATTGTCTTCACAATGTTGAAACGCAGAACGCAAGTAAACATTTGCGCACTCAAAAACTGTACTTTCTAATTTGGTTTTGTCGGAGAAGTTCGGCGTTTCAATTAAACCTGTAAAAACAAAAATCTGATATAACAATTTTTCACTTTAATCCTACATGAAGCATTCAAAAATTGCCAAGGTGACATATATAAAGATAAGAGCATGATATTGGGGGTGTGAATATAGCAAAATACAGCCAGGATCGTGTGGTCAGAATCTGCAGTTTAGTATTTTTTAATTGATATTGGAACAGGACTTTACACTAACAATTACAATAAACAAAATCAAAATTTTTAATGAAAAGTGAAATTTATTAGGGAGATGATTCTCAACAGACAATTCAAAAAAGTTTGCATAAGCAAAAAATTGGTTTCTTCAGAATCGAAATTTCCTCGAGTCTGGCACCAGATGGCGCCCTTGCACCCAACTTTTCTACTTAAAGTGGTTCACAAGTTGTGTACACCAACAAGAAACCGTAATAAATTCAAATTACTATGTTCAATGTATTATTTTCTAACATGTTATCTGAAGGACAAACCACGAGACGGTGTACACTACTAAAATCAAAATGTGAGGCAAATACGAGTGGAATAAAATGCATTTGTGGTATACAAAATAACTCACCTGATATTCTTGAGCAGGCATCAATACAAGCCTCAACATCATTACCCAACTTCAACACAGCTTGGTGTAAAAGTTCATTCCTTCTACTTCCTAGAACAACCAACTGTTGCGCAGATATGCGATCTGGGAAATCTTCGAAAGTAACTGAACTTGTATCAACACCATGATAGCCGTTCATCTGCGGAGTGAGAGAATCATCCTCTTCTTCGGGTGACTCGCTTCCTTCCTCTTCATCCTCCTCATCTTCATCCTCATTATCATCTGCTTCTGAATCTACTCCCTCATCATCAGACAATGATCCAAGGGCTTTCAAGTATCTGTAATAAAATGGAATGTGGTGAATGCCATTTGTTTTTTTAAAACAACGGCTCCACAATAATGTTCGAGAGCAATGAACACCATCGGACGAGTAAAATAACAATTAGCAAGTGCAACTGGATAGAGTTGAATGCAGCACTAGGAGAGAATTTTTGTATTTGTCAAAGTAACGAGCCAGGCTGCTCACACAACTCTCGAAAACAACCAAGGAGTGGGTGTTAGTTTGCTGAACAAGTATTTTTTTTTTCGTTTATTTCTTTATTATTTTGGCCATAATTCCTCAACTAGTATGCTAAGCGACTTAAGTTTCAGACTTGTGTGTCCTACTACAATACGGCACGTTAATCATAGCTCCAATTCGGTTCCATTACATTTGAACCCACGTACATTTGAACCCATGACAATTGCACCTGTATGCTATTGCACCTATGGAATTTTTTTTGTTTCACGGATAGTCAAACCCATACTAACCCTAACCCATGGGTTTTAGCACCCGCATATAGATTGAACCCGTGGATATACGCATGGGTTCAAATGTACATGGGTTCAAATGTACGGTCACCCTCCAATTCATTCAACTGAATGAACAGTGGCCAGTAAGAAAGACATATTAAAAAAATTCTATGCAAATTATTATATCTGCAAGCAGGGATGGCCAATTCGAATATAGTATTCGAATGTATTCGAATATCTCATTATTCGAATATCGGAATTCACGTTCATAAGAATATCGGATATTTGTGTGACGTCACACATTTTCGACGCCGCTTTCAAGACGTTTCCGTTGAATGAAAACATTCTCGATAGAAACTTGCGCGCGATTGTTTTTATCACTCATCAGCGTAACGTGTTATTTAGGCCCGTGAACGCTATTACGATTGTGTTATTTTCTCTAAAACGAAAATTTTCCACAAATTTGTTCCACGATAACGATAACATTTATTTTATTTTTGTATGCGCACGGAATTGTGAATCTGGTAAATACGTTCATAGGCGGCGAGTTTCTAAAGACAACGCAACTTTTTGATTGAAAAGCGGCAATTTAAAATACTGAAAACAAAACCGTAAACAACATAAGTTTTATTGAGTCCCGCGAAAATTTAAAAAACGCTTTTCTAGGCAGTGAAAATCACAAAATTTCGTGTGCCTCTGGCACACATTATGTTTGGTCAGTGTTTAGGAACGTATCGTCACTGAGGGCGGGATTTGCCTGATTATCCATTACTTTAAATTGCCGTCAAATATTTTCGGGTTAACACGATACAAGGTTTGAAACGCGACTTTTTCCCTGGTTGTGAGAATGTTATATTATAATTATTCTGAGGTATATTCAATCAATTTTATTGTGATGAAATAAATTTTACTCTGAGATATTTTACTCTGAGCATTTCGATCGAGCGGAGTCACTGTTAACAAGTACATCTAAATATTTGCCGAATTCGCAAAATACGGATAAAAACAATATTTAATCGGACAGTTTACCTCACGTTTTTATTTTTATGGCCGCCGACTGGTATATAAGAGTGGTGAGGATTTTATTTTGTCGACGCAACCGCAGGTTAAATTGAAGACAATTAAATTAATAAGAGCAAGACATTTTAAATATGCCCGTGTTGGTCACGAATTCATCACTTTGCACAACAGAAAATTATATATTTGTTGTTATATTATTTGTTGTAAAAGTCGACTCTTTTAACAGGTGGCATAATCGCGGCGATGAATATGTATTTTTAATTTACTGCTAAACTTTATATGTATATTCATTGTATGAAATGAATTATTCTCTACACTTAACAGGATTTTATATAATTGTTTGAGATTTTTCTAACGGCAATAACGAGTTGGCAAGATTGCAAAAATACATATTAAAATTAAATACATCAAGCAGTTTATCTCGTAATTTTAGGTCACAGATTGCCGTGGACCGAATAGTAATGTTTTTTTTTGACGTAAGAAGAAGCAACCGCGAGTTATGTTGGACACATTAAATTAATATACAAAGATATTTTAGAATCTCGTAGTTGTCATGGATTGAATATTTTACGTAACAGAATGATCATTATACGCTGACAAGACGGCTCTTTTAACAAGCGCGGAATCGCGGTGGGTGTTACAGGCGGCGGGTGTTACAGGCGGCAATGAGAATTTCCGATTTTGAAAATCCCGGCTGCGCGCTGGCAGTGGTGGTCATCTATTCTCTACTAATTTATTTCTAACTCCAAACACAACAATATGTTACACATAATAACAATAAATATACTGGTAGGTAGTAGAATACTCTGGGCTTAAATATTAGAATTTTTAAAGGCAGAATGGATTTTCGATTGTTGTTGCCTGTATTGCCAATAAATTTTATTACTCTCAGAAAATTTTCACAATTATCTGAATACAAGTAGTATTTTTGTCAATTGACTCGACTGTTATCGTAATATCATGGTACCAATGATAGAAAGCGTCAGACAACTCCTTGGCTATCTTTTCATATGGTCATTTGTACAAAGTGAATAATTTTAATGAACTGACTGTGTCACAAGTTGCTATTATTTTTTAATAATAGCTATAAACTATCAATTACTTTGTGTACATATACTGTTGGTCTGTGGCTTCATTCTGATATTTCTATTGAAGCTTATTTCCTAATTTACTGGGTTTTAATCAACTAAAACAAAAATGTGTTATTTTCGATTTTAGAATGTATTCGGAATTCCAGATTCGAAAACATTATTTTAGAATGTATTCGGAATAGTTTAGTATTCGGAAATGGCCATCCCTGTCTGCAAGTTATTTAGCTTCAAAACATTCAAACTTACAAATTTGACACAATTTCACAATCCTTCTCATTAAAGACAAGTTCTCACCCAAGTTCTTTTGCCAAATCCTGAACTTCATCTACACCATCATCACCAAATTGATTTCCGTTTAGATCAAGTAATTCAAGATGTTCTTTTTCAGCAACGCCATTGCAAATACTGATTGCACCTTCGAGTTGAATTTCACCAAAAGCAAGGATCAAAGTATGAAGATTGGGATTGCTGATTCTCAGTGCTTCGCCAATAGCTACTGCCCCTTCCGTTCGCACAAGACAATCTCCGAAGTTGATTATTTCCAGGCTGTTGATTTCCTGACAGAATTTTCAATAAAATTATTTAATAGCTGTTGATGAAAAAGCACAACGTTTGGCCTTTTTAGGGTTGTGATTGGTTATATTTTTATAATTATCAGTTCACCTAAATTTCCTGCGAATTCACACAGATTTTTAAATGAAGAAGTTTTTGGTTTAGTAAGCTAGTTTTGTTAGGTTTTGGATAAATCGAACTTCAAGAACAAATTGGAAAATCAATTGGAAAATTGTTTCATTGGAAACTCAAAAAGTTCAGCAGCTAAGGAAGCCCTAATGTAATGTGATGACTAGGAAATTTTTTTTTTTTAAATACTGATGTATATTAAATATTATCCACTGGTAAACTTATTTTTAAGATTGAATTCAAAATTGAACTCAGAAAGTTTTGAACAGTGATTTCTTAATATACATACTCCAACTGCCTTTGCCATAGACAAAGCTCCTTTATTTGAAAATGTGTTATCATTGAGATTCAAATGTCTCAGATTCGGTGAGTTTCTCACAGCTTCAGCCAGAGCAGATATCCCTTCATGATTGATACCATTCTGTGGCATGTGAATTTCTTCTAAAGTTCCAATGGTTTTGAAAGCTTTAGCGAGTGCAATAGCTCCTGGGTTTTCTAATCTGAAAATAAGAGTGATAAAAAAACTTAGTAATCAGTCACAAGTATTGACAACATTGTTCTAATTAGTATTCTCTTTTTTATTTTGTGAGAAGTTACTATTTTTTTGTCTATCATAAAATATTAAATGCCTAAAAAGACATTTTCGAAATATTCCAAATTATTCCCAAGTTCAAGAGTTTACTAAACCAGAAATAACTAATTTTGGGACCATGTTCACAACACGACGTAAGTCCTTCTAGTTGGCGTGGCACAACCATTTTTGCATATGTTATTCCTAACCCCCACCTGACTACGTCATTTAAAAATTACGACACTACGACATCACAGCAACGTATAAGGCCCTCCAAACTATCTCAACTGTCATCCAAGACACGGTGGTTGTGCCACGCCAAATAGGAATACTTACGTTTTTCAGTGAACATTCGAACAATCGATTCGTTTTGGACATCCCTGTAGCAAACTACTTTTCAGTATAATTTCCCATTATTCTTGATACAAAAGGAAATATCTAATTTTTCTGAAGATTATGTTATACCATGTTTCAATAATCATTTAGGTCTTCAGAATTGATCCGGATTGCAGATATGAACCAGGATACCAATTTAACAAAAACAACTCTCTCACCTGTTTCTTCCAGCAATAAAAACTTTCAGAGCAAGTGGTTTTCCACAAGCACTGCTCCTTCTATGACATTCAATAAGTGTTTCTGCCAAAGTTTTTCCTCCGATTCCCATGCCATTGTTATTGAACTTAAGAACCTGGTCATTTCAAACAGAGAAAAAATATTGCAAATGAATTTTAGAACTTTTAAATATACTTGATGCAGGGTCATAAACCCTGACAATGCAGTTTACCATAAATCGGGAACACCCTATTCCAAATCGAGTTGATTCAGAAAATCAAAGTAAAAGGATACCTACAATTAAACATTACAGTGCCACTGATCCTAGATATTTAGTTTTATCTGAATTTTTAGAAAAAATAGTTTGGGATAAAAGGTAATTGTGTAAAATAACCTCTCGCAGTCAGTTCCATGAAAAAGTTCTTTAAATTTATTTTCACAATTTTTTAAAATGTCTTGAAATATTTTTTTTAAACCTACACTCTTAGTGAAATCGTAAAAAATAGAAGTACCTGAAGAGTATAAGATGCCTCGCTTTTCAATAACTCAGCAATAGACTTAATTCCGATAGGTCCAAAAGCGTTATCACTGAGATCTATTTCAACCAAGTGTGCTCCAGCTTTCATAATTGAAGAACTGAGTGAAGTCAGTGACGGAGGAATTTCACTTCTCAAACGTCCTATAAAAAAAAAATGAAAACAACTGAAAAATTATAATCAGAGATCAGGGTGGTCCAAGGTTGAAGGGAGGCAAAAACTTTTGAGGTCTAGCGGGGCACAGTTGGAAAAACCCAAAAGTGATCAGAATATCGCGAGCTTACTGTAATTATATTAAAGAATGACAGTTTACCGTTCTAATCAGCCTATGCATGGGTTGCATTTTTTATTTTAAGGAAGATATACAAAGCCTTTAGTTGTTTTAAAATTGCTTCCCGAAAGGTACCGTGGTAACTTAACTTCCATATCTTTTTTCGTTTTTAGTTTTGTAATGTTGATTCAAATTATATTCTTCCATGACAGATATCACTTAAAAGCACACCAGACACTGTACTGTGGTTTACCGTTGTTGTGGGCAAGGAAATATTATGTTTACTCCCGGTTTTCCTATGTCACCTTTCTTCTGAGACTCATTTTATGATAAATTGTTATATTTGACTAATTTGATAACTTGCAGCGTGAGCAGGCCTTGTGCTATCGTTCAAAAATGATCAAGTTTGACTCAGAATTAGGATTTCGGGACCTAGCTAAACAAAAAGCTGGATCATGCGCCGCTAAGTCAGTTCTGCGTTTCATTACTGCTGTTATATGGCCTACGTTTAAAAAATAGAGGAGTTTTTTACAAAAATGAAGGCACAAAACGTCTTTCTAAATAAGGAGTTGCTTGACGCGAGATTAATTAAGGTGCAAAGTTGAGATGGCGCGGCGCGACTTATATCATCTGTTGAGTGGTATCTGCAAAAGACATTAATAAGAAAGAAACTCATAAATGTTCTGCCAATAAATACAAATAGTTGCCAATTGTTTAGTATACACCAAAAGTAAAATTGTTCTGCCGCCGCACGTAATGTGTCCTCGGGAAGCATGCGGGCCACGTGTCAGGGTTTGATGATAAAATGATAATAAGATGCACAGTAATTTTTTTTATCAAGTTTTGGTATTAAAGAGTATAACGCGAGTAACAATTAAAGTTATTTGATCAACCTGTAAACATATCTGCCCATAAACATCTTTCGAGTTCTTTACGATCATCTAAAGAATCAGCAATGGCTCTTGCAGCTTCCACACCTATTGTGTTTCCACATAATTCAAGCACCTGAACATAGAAAAATCCATTATTTGCTGTGATTTCGTCAAATTCTTCAATTTTTGAATTAAAAATTGGAATAGCAGGTGCAGAATGGTCAAAACCGAACCTACTATGCCCAATACACATATGGAAGTTGATGAGTGTCAATGAGTTTGAAAATGTAAGATAATCAGTAATTTAATGGTTCTTCATTTTTTTTTAGAGTTTCTAACAATTAAATGAAGCCCTTTATTTCAAAATGATAATTTTTTCATCAAAGCAAATTAATTTTTAAAATCAATAAATTGAAATACTGGATATAATTAATTTCGAATTGTTTTGAATATTCCTTAGCTGGTTCAAAAAGGAGTTTCAGTCAAGATTCATATTTCTGAAATTATGGTTAGGGCATATTTGTAAATCTTTTACTAATCTATTACAAAAATTGTTTAATTAGGCCAAAGCAACAAGTACCTGTAGATCTGGACAGTCACGAATAGCTTGTATAACTTTCTTGGCATCTTCTTCATTATTCAGTTTTAATCCCTGTCCTTTGAAACTGACAATATTTTGCTGTCGAACTTCAGTTTTTTGTAACAAGGAGGCAATTTCATCGACTTTGTCATTTTTTGACATATTTTTGATTCACTCTTAGCGGTTTTTAGAGGTATATTTATTATACAGTTGCTTTATATAAATATATACAGTGGCTGGAGAACCGAATGAATAGCTTAGACAAAAAATAAGAAAATATTTTATCAACTTGGTATCACAACTACATATTTTGTGAAAGCAGAAGGCAACAAATCAAAAAGTAAATATTTATACAATAAAAGTTCATTAAAAAAAAAGACTTTTCTGAAACAATGTAGCCAAGCTTGAAATAAGAAAGCGGGTCACTGTTTCTCATTGAAATAAGCAGCATAATATAATGTGATGAACTGATGCTCCTTCGTTTTCAAGTATCTCGTACTCCTCTAAAAAAAATAAGTTACCTAGGAAAAAAACAATTTGAACAAAATGAAGTATCATAAGAACATACTGGTGTTTTTATTTTGTTAAGAAAATGTTTCAGCAATAACAAATAAAACAATGAATATTCATATTTCATTGAACATATAAAGCAGTTAACAAAAAGAAATTCAAAATGCAAAAAAACATATACAACAACCTGACAAAAACTTATCCGAACACCAAATACTTTTACCCTATTATTCTTAAATACTCAATACCATATTACACCAATAGGACAATGGCAATATATATATATATATAAGAGAACACTGTCCGATGAAATCATTTCAAGCATAATTTTGACATAGGAAAGCGAGGGTAAGGAATTCGTGGAAATTTACTTCTCCAATATGAGTGTTGTTGTTGTACATTATATATATTTTACATGTGCTGCAGCTACGATAGATCTAAAAGGTCTTTCAGGCACAGAAGATAGACACATGTGAATGCTGATGAAAAACAGTGAGATACTGTTTTAAAATCTAATCAAACATACAATCATTTTAACTTGAAGAAAATATATTTATGGCTTTTATTCCAACAGACTTGAATTGCACATTGCAAAATTGTATTCGCCGATGCCATTAGTTTTTTAAATAATGAACCAATTGTTTGAAACTTTTAGTGGATGGAAATGTCACCTCAGAAGCTATCACTTTATTTGTCTGTCAAATTTTCTCCCAAGGCTTTTCAGCTTTAGCTGATTTTAAAAAATTGATCCCATTTGGCAATTTAACTCTATGATTGATTTCCATAAATGTGAAGTAATTCCATATTGCCTATATATGTGAAATAAAGTTGCTACAATTCAATAAAATAAAGTGATCCTTCCAAATTCATTAGAACTATCGCTGTCAGAATAAGAATCACTCTCCTCAGAATCTGATGATTCATCGTCGCTTACTATTATAATATTTCGAGATCGCGTGCGATATCGTGAGTGGCCTTCTCTGTCATCATTGTTTGTTCTACTCAGGTCGATAGGAGAGTTATGTACTCTTCTTCCTCGACCCCGACCACCCCTCGAACCACGCCCACGCCCCCTATTTGCTTTATTTTTGGCAATTTCCGATTCAATTTTCTTTCTCTCCTCAATAATTTTCTCTCTTTTTTCTTTAAGAACAGGAGAAATACCTTCGAGAGCTTTAGAAATATAATTATCCAGAACAAGAGATTGTGTCAATGTCAATATGGGCTGCCTACAAACTGGACAAATACTATTAACGTTTTTCCACTCATTGATACAATATTCACAAAATGTGTGAGCACAGTTCAATGTCGTTGAAACAATGAATAACTCTGAGCAAATTGCACACTGAAGTTCATTTTCCATTGTATCCACCACAGTTTTGATAGTTGAAGAATTTACTTTATCCTTTTCAAATGATGCTTTACACTGCTCAAATGCAATGTCTTTTTCTAGTTGAAGCCTCATCTCTAATTCTTCTTCCTTCTCTACAAGTTTGGTTTTGAAATTTTGCTCAAGCTTTTGCGTAATTTTCTTTTGTTCGTCTTCAATTCTTTTGTTTCGCAAATTAATTTCTTCTTTCAAAGCTTGTTCTTTTTCTTCGAGCTGTAGTTTCAATCTTTTATTTTCTCGTTCCATTTCATGATTTGTTTCTGATTGAGTTTCAATTTTCATTTCATTATTTTTGTTTTGAGTGGAATGTACCATTTTATCATTACAATTTGTTTCGTGGTCAACTGCTGGAACATTTATTTTAACAATTTTGGCATTTTTATTTTTGGATTTATTATATTCTACTTGTTTTGAAGCACCATTAGCAAGTCTTTTACTTTTTGCTGGATGCAGCTTTAAATAACCTTTTTTTAAAGATTCAGACATATGCGTCTTTGGCCCCCGTGGTTTGCTGTCTAATTCCGAATTGGTTGCAGATAACACATTATAAATAAATCGATCATTGGCGCTCATTGTTTTTAAAATTTCCTCATCATCAGGTCTACCAATCTCCACTTTATCACCAGCGCTAAGACGATGCCAGTTAGAGTTCTCAATTTTAACACCATTAACGTGTATTCCATTCAATGAATTTAGGTCTTTAATGTAAAAGTTTCCATCTTTCTTTTTCATTATTTCCGCATGTGTTCTAGAAACATGTTGTGATAACAATCGTATAGGTAAATCTGATGATCGACCAAGTGTTACCACACCATTCACCTTTGTTGAAAATGGAATCCATTGATCAGGACCTTTATTTCCTCTGTTTTCATCTCCAGTCACACGAGACAAGAAGAGCTCCATTGACAGATTGAATCACGTTTCAGAAATTCAATGAATGCATAGCTAGGCTATATCTGTGAAAGTTTTAAAATCATATTTTTTAGATACACTGATATATATTTGCAGATGTTATACCAGTACAGATCTGCAGATGGTAAATAAACTTATTTTGATATCTTCTCAAATTTATACCGGTACAACTGTATACGGTAGCGTTACACACAAGGCAAAAAACGACCAATGCAAAAAATAGTAGACAGAATACAGGAATAACTGAATAAGGTAACCAAGAGAGCAAACAAACAAAAATGGGGTCTAGTATAGTTTGGTACCACAAGTACTTCCAGTGGGCATAGCATAACGAATTTTGCATATGTTATTCCTAACCCCCACCTGACTATGCCATCCAAAAATTACATCACTACGACGTCATCATTACGTCATAGGGCTTGTCAAAGTATAATTACAATCGCCCGAAATGGCATCTGCGCCGCTGATAACGAACTCGCTAACCTGCTAACGCCGGCGATCTCTCTCCTATCGGGATCGTCGTGACGAAAAAACGAGAGAAATAGCTTGCTGCTCGATTTCGGATGATCGTCTGCGCGTTTTGGACTACCTTCCGCATATTTTGGTGGGCCTTATTACGCCACTGCTGCACTGTGACGTTGAAATGACCTAATTTTTCGGTGAGGTAGTCAGGTAGGAGTTAGGATTGACATATGCAAAAATAGTTGAGCCAGGCCAACTAGAAGTGCATGTGGTACTAAACTATACCGGTACCAGACCCCAAAAATGTTCCCCATACGCCATAAATTTGACACAATGTATTACGGTATTATTTATTTACGGTTTAACCGGTCAAAAATTCATCAGAACAGATTAAATTTAGATTCCCGTACCGGTATGTCTTGTACCCGCATCGTCCACATACTATGTACCCTACCGTACCGTACTACATAAACTCAGTCAAGTCTCAATTTACAGAAAAAAGTTTCATTAGAAATTACATAACGGTAGTCTGATAGTTGAGGTCCGACGTAATACAGTACTACGCATCTCTAAACGCACGCTGAGTACCGGTACCTTTTTTTGCTAAGCGCGCCAAATGAAAACTTTTTGACTTTGCCAAAAAGAGGCTACCGTACTTCGTGACTCACAGGCAGCGGCGGCGTGCGTGAAAATCTATCTTGTTCTAACTTCTAACTGGCTGGAATGAAACACTCGTGAAATCACAAAGTATAATCAGAGACATTATATAATGGCTCTGGTATAATACCCCTCTGTCTGTGGTTTGAGCCATGCCACATAACAGGGGTTCTCAACCCGCGGCCCGCGGGCCACATGTGGCCCGCCGATGCGTATTCTGCGGCCCCCCAAAGATCTTTGATGAACCCAAACATATCATAATATCTGCGGCGTAACAAATATAAACGATTTTTAAATTCGGTATCATTCTTCTCAACCCTTACAGCGCATGATAAGATTATGGATTATGTCATCACAGCAAATAGATTAATTACGTATTGAGTTACTTAGCTCGCTCATTGCACCCTCTATATACGGTACCTTCGGAAACGCGCTTCAAAACGGTGTTACACTGCGTCCAGCTTGAAGGCACTAAGTCATGGCGACAACGAAGAGAAAGTAAACGACGGAAACAGAGTTTTCAACTCTGCGTGGAACAATGAATGAATTTGCTTTTGCAGAGATAAATGGGAAACCCATGTGTCTCATTTGTCAACGAAGTAAATTTACAACGACACAGTAAAACTAATCCCATACCCGACTTGGAATGGTAACCGGACGAGGGGCCGTGGTTCGCCATATGGATAAGCCGTCTTATCGGCTTTCCTCTCCCCCGGGATGAATATGTAAATCCTATCCTATCCACCACAAACAGCTTCACCCAGAGTTCAAAATTGCATATCCATCTGGTTGTGATCTTATGATTTTTTTTTAAAGTAGGGCCTACTTGTGAACAGAATGCAGACTCGGAATTCTCATTTAGGAAAAAAACGTCTTTGTAATTGCAAAAAAATTGTTGCTGTTAGATATAATAATATTTTTTCTATGTTGTAAAATTTTGTCATAGTTCTCGTTAGGGAAGAAATTGGAACTGCAAACTTACGAATGCTATCCATTAACTATGTTTTAAAATGCATAAAAAGGAAAACAAAAAGCATATTATACATCAGTATCGGACTAATAAATGAATAAATAGTACAAATACATGGTAATAATATTCTGTGGCCCGTCGCATCGTTTGTGGTCAAAATGCGGCCCTTTTACATGGGAGTTGAGAACCCTTGCTCTACAAGGTAATATTTTGTAGAAGTTTAAAACAGAATGGGCCTAAGTGGTGGTCTTGAAATCCTGAATTTCTCAATGATAAAAATTTTAGCTGGACTTAGGACTATAATATTTTGTAGAAGTTCAGAACATGATGGGCTAAGTCCAGCTAAAAATTTTATTATTGAGAAATTCAGGATTTAAAGACCACCATCTTGTAGAATGTAGAGCATGGCTCAAAACCCCAAAATATTAAATAAAGATAGTCCGCAGTTCCAAAATGATGGGCATGAACATCAGAAATGAAATGTCCCTAATAATTTGTTCAGTGCAACTTAGACCTAAGTCACCCTGTTTTACCTTGCATCCCATACAAAAAATCTCATAAGTTGTTGAGAACAGAATGGGCCAAAATCCTTTATGAGGATAAAAAAGCAGGAAGGAATTGAAGCTGAAATGCCAAAAAATATTGATTGCAAAGATATTCTCATTCACATTAAAATAACCAGAGCTCAGATCTTTACTAAGTGTGAATATCTAGAAATTCAAAAATAAAAAAATTCCAAATCGCTTTTTTGCGTTTTTCTCACACCTCAAAATTTTTACTCAGGCCTGTTGATTTAGGTATGGAGCAAAAAATTGTTGAAAAAAGTTATCACCAATCATTGCTAGTACCATTTCGTGTGAATAGTTTCATATAGAAATTTGTTCGCTGCAACCACGCTCTTTGGGATTACCAATCGATCCAATTGAACGTTTAAGAATGCGCAATTAGATCACAAACAGGATTTTAGTTTGCTGATAAATATATATATATATGGTGATCGCCAGCAAATTCGATATACAGAAAAATACCCTCGTTTCCACCCGATACTCGTAATTGTTGTAGTAATGCATCCGCTGTGGCCGATCTCGTGAGCAAAGTTTCTACCCGAAATTTAGGGTAAGAGTTTTGAAGAGTGTCACTTCCCCTATTAGAAAACGTCGGTTACCATTTCTGAAGCCCGGCAATTAGCGAGAAATTGGAATTTTTATATTGCGTAAACGCCCATATATCTTGACCAATAAATCAGGGGTAGGAAAAAGATTGAATGTCCATTATATTCGTAGTTTTTATTTTCAACAATCTTGCACATTGCACAAATTATTAGCCTTGGCATGCTATGGACCTTTCCCCGACCTTTGACCCCCAGAAAATTCTCTCTATACTTTACCATTGCAAAATTTTCGGGGCTATTTTAAGAATGCTTTTGCGAGTTGGCGCCTGTAAAATGGGGTATGTGTTTCAAACCATCATTATGATTCATCGCATACAACAATCTGTTTTTTAAAAGTACCGGTAAAGAATTTCACGCTAGTCTAGCACAGCTATTTCTACACTAATTTTTATTACTGCAATTGAATCAAAACTCCTAGGAAGACAGAGTGATCATTGAATTATCTGATTTATATTCAAGTTTCCGAAACACAATTTAAAACTAACGAATAAAGTTCAAAAACGCGAAAACCAGGTAATGTTTACAACCACGCTTGAAAATCTGTCTGAGTGAGAAAAGTGTCTGAGCGGATGCGAAAAGGGGGCATTGTTACGTCACTTTTTGCATTCTACTGATTGGCCAATGTCACGAAGTAAACAAGAAAGTCGATGCTCGGGGAAAGGTCCATTTCATTCCAATTATTTATTTGGGTAATACGAGTTCAACTGAGGTCACCAGGGGTCAAAAAGTCACGAAAATCTGAGGGGGAACTCCTATTACCACTTTGATAGATAACAAAATGACACCATGGATCAGATCAAGGTGTATATCATCTGTATTATCTTTAACAACTGCTATGCATGAATAAAAAAATTTTTACCTCCTTCCGTCACTCTCATATTATTTGGTTAAAAAAAAAGGCCACAAAATAACATGCCACACACCTATTGCTGTGCTCTTGGTAGCTGACCTTTGTAGGCTAGGCTTCGGACGCATTCTGTCGCATGTCGCGGAAAACATGGCCCCGTGCATGTGTCGACGGAATTCGTTGACCAGACCGTTCTAGTAGAATGTAGATGATTCAAAATGTATAATCTGCCACGAGACTTTTACTGAGAAAATGGTAGGAACCGAAAATGGACGTAAGTGGATTTGGGATGCACCATTAATTGAGGAAGACGTTGAAAGCAAGCGATTGAAAGTTGTCTGTCACAGTAAATTTTATATCATCTGAGTAACTTGTGCTACAAAGCATACACAATGAAATCTCAACTTGAAAGGATTTTAATTTATGTCCGATCGTTAAGAGGAATGCGGATGTTGAAAGAAGTGTTTCTGGGGTGGGAAGCATTCTTCAAGCAAGACGGAAGAACAGCCAAATATGGAAATGCTCTTAACAGTCTTCGACTTTTAAAGTAAGAATCCTAATATGAACATGAGAGCTATGCTCAAATATATAGACACGTAGCGCCACCCAATGGCAATAATTTTGATGACGTCATAGCAAAAAAAAAAAGTAATAGCATTCTGGAGAAAAATTTTATCTTTGACCACTGAAAATTTCAAAGCCATTGGTCCAGTATTCGAAGAGAAAAGCGATTTTTTAATGATAATGACGAAAGAAAATAACAATGACAACAAAATTTTGAAACGATCGTTATGGCCACTAAACGTGTCCAACTAGAGGTGAATAGAGCATTTAGTAAGGCAGGGACTTCATACGAAGGAACTAGCACGCAATCTATCCTGAATGTCGTAAAGAAAAACGAAAATCCTTTCGAAATGCCCCCTAAAGAAAAAAGGCTGCACATCATCCTC